AACAAAATTGGACACTTTAGAAAAAGTACCAATTATTTTTTAACAACGTTAGTGAGACCATTGGTTACACTGCTGACACTTGACTAAATTGTTACCTACATCAGCTTTACAAACTGAACAGGGCCATCGTCCAGTAGCTGTGGATTGGATGGGTTCACCAGTGTTCATTGCTTTGGTTTTGCTGACGTTGACTTTGTTATATATTGGATAAATCAATCCATTCAATCCTTATTTATAGTTTCCATCCGTTATGTCTCCGACTTTTTTTTCCATTCATCAGCTTCTACCTCCAAGCCGATCTATCCTTTGCATCTGTCTCCTTGATTCTAGATGCTTTCAAGTCCTCCTGTATAGTCTGCGTCCAGAACTTTTTTGGGCGGCCTCCTGGGCGGGTGCCAGACACCTGGCGCTCAGTAACGGAAATTATTGTATCGTTTTCGCTTTGCTTCACATGGCCAAACCATCGTAAGCGATGACGACGACATGCATCCTTCAACGTGCACAGTCCCGATCAGTTCAGGATCTCGGTTGTATGTATATGGTCCCTTTGGTCAACATTCTGCATCCAACGAATCATCTTCATGTCAGTTTGGTGAAGCTGCTGTTTGAGTTTTATTGTCATCGCCCACTTCTCTGCACCATACATTAGAACAGAACGTATAGCTGCACCGAGGCAAAAAGGTGCCATCTGCCTCACGCCGCACATATGCGTCTACGAACAGCGGCATTAGCTGTTTCAGTACAATCCAGCACATCTCCCAAATACTGGAATGAAGTAACAGTTTTGATCTCGGTAATCGTGTCACCATCTGGAACCCGTTGTCGCGGGTTGATGCAGGCGTGGCATACGAAATCAGTCACTTTCCTCAGTGAGTCGGTAATTTTCGAGCATCGTCTGTGACACCACTGCTGACATCGTAGGTATTTGATCGAGTTGCTTCCAACTCCAGCCCCACATATAGAACATAGTCAATAACCAGAGACCACAGGCTCAGCGGTACCACCGGTAATCATAGTTTTTATTTTGTCAAGGTTTACCTTTAGCCCGTGTTCGGCGAGTTGGGTATTCCAGACCTTAAACTTTCTGGCTGTGCCATAACCAGCCGATACAGATATTTGGGAACAAGCTGTCTACGTAGACTCCACCGGATTGCCTCACGAGGCACTCTGGCACGAGGCAAAATTTTTTTCCGAGTCCACAAATACATGGAACAGTCGCTTTTGTTTAGTCAAGTATTTTTTATGTAGTTGAAGAATAATATAGAAAGCATCAATGGTGGAAAAAAATAATGGAACTTTAGCTGTTCCAGTACAATCCAGGACATCTCTTAGATATTGAAATGATGTGACTTTATTTATTTTAATGGCTTCAAAAACACTGCTATTTTAAATTTGTTGTTGTGGATTGATGCAAGCAGGACAAACAAAATTGGACACTTTAGAAAAAGTACCAATTATTTTTTAACAACGTTAGTGAGACCATTGGTTACACTGCTGACACTTGACTAAATTGTTACCTACATCAGCTTTACAAACTGAACAGGGCCATCGTCCAGTAGCTGTGGATTGGATGGGTTCACCAGTGTTCATTGCTTTGGTTTTGCTGACGTTGACTTTGTTATATATTGGATAAATCAATCCATTCAATCCTTATTTATAGTTTCCAATTATTTTTTAACAACGTTAGTGAGACCATTGGTTACACTGCTGACACTTGACTAAATTGTTACCTACATCAGCTTTACAAACTGAACAGGGCCATCGTCCAGTAGCTGTGGATTGGATGGGTTCACCAGTGTTCATTGCTTTGGTTTTGCTGACGTTGACTTTGAATCCATGATCGGCGAGTTTGGTGTTCCAATCTTCAAACATCTGTGCTGCATTCTGCTCAGACGTGACTGTTAAGACAATATCATTAGCATATATTAGATTCTAAATATAACCAGTGCGCATCGGCTTTGTGATTTCTTCCATCACAGTTATGAATAACAGTGGATTTGGTGAACTCCAACACCGATGCCAAATGCATCTTTGTAGCCAACCGTTGAGTTCACGAGAGTCTCGGTATTCGTATACATTTCCATCACAAGTCGAACAAGATATTCTGGAACGAGTTGTCGACGTAGACTCTACCTGATTGCTTCACAGGGAACTCGATCTAATGCTTTTTCAAGGTTTACAAAAATGTGTGATTGTTGTTGATGCTTTGCGAGGTACTTCTCTTGCAGTTGCCGAAGGATGTGAATTACATCAATTGTTGATTACCCCACTAGGGAACCAAATTGATAATTTCCGATGGTGATGCACGACGTTAATCTTTTCTCAATGCTTTTCTCGACAATTTTCAGGGAGTGTTCTAACAGTCGTATACCCCGATATAATGGACAGTTCAATAGATCACCTTTGTCATTTGTGAGTCCAGAGGGCCCTGCTGTCTTTCCATCCTTCATAGCTTTCAGAGCTTCTGTAAGCTCCTTTACAGTGATGTCTTGAATCGGACCTTCGATGGGTGGAGCGCCAAAGTTGACATTGATAGGATTTGTTTTATTTAACAGACGGTTGAAGTTTTCTCTTTACTGTAGCTTGATTTCATCTTGTTCAAGAATCATCTCATTTTTGTCGTTATTGATACATGAGGCACCAATTATGACTTGTTTCGTACGCTTTGTTTGTTTTGCTATACAATACAGAGATTTCATTTGTTCACCTTTGCTTTTAGTGAGCCACTCTCTGCACTGATCTGTCCAAGCCAGTGCAACTTGACGTCTTGCATAGTTGTTCTTTTCACGGAAAATTTTATGGTCATCAACAGACTTTGATTTTTGCCATTGTCTGTATGCAGCTTTTTTTTCAGCTATTGCATTTTGTACACAGTCATTCCACCACCAAGTGTCCAGTTTATGCTGATGTTTTTTACCGGTTTTCCCACAAACTGTAGTTGCAGCGTTTATCAAAACGGTTTTGTATGTACACCAATCTGTACTGGCTTGCGATTGGTGGTCTAACTGTAAAGCGGCAATCTGTTGAAAATTTACAATGAAAATAAGTAAGTTTTCAGTTTTCTTTTAAAATCAGGCAGGTTCACTCCGGATCTCTTAGAAAGGCAGGCAAATTGTTCTAAACAGACGGTCCCAAGACGGCGATGTTACGAGATCCCATATGAAGACACGAAACTGGGACTAGCAGCAGGTTCAGATCATAAGACCTCAGATGCGTTCCAGAAGGAGGTGCCAACTTCTTTGCAAACATTTCCGACAAATAAGGTGGTGCAATACGATTCATTGACTTGCAGACTAGAGTTGATATTTTGAAGATTATTCTTTTTTTTACGGTTAGCCAGTGCAGTTGTTTCAGTATTGGTGATACGTGATCATATTTTAAACCGCCGACAACAACCTTTGCAGCACGATTCTGCAATGACTGTAATACAGCTAAATGTTTATCAGGTAATTCGTAAAACAGGCTATTACAATAATCAATTCGTGAGTGCACGAAGGCATGAACCAGAGTCTGAAACGTAGTAGTGTCAAGAGATCTACGTATTTGATTGAACTTTCTTATTTGGTACATGTATTCAACGGAAAGCATTTTAATGTGATCTTTCATTGACAAATTGGAATCTAGAATAAATCCCAGACTAGTAGCTTTTTGGTAAAACGGGATGACACTGTTTTTGATAATGATTGAATCAGTTTCTAGCTTCAAAAGCTGTTGCCACGTACCTACCGGCAAAAGTTAAGTTTTACTCTGATTCAATTTAAGAGCATTGTTTTGCATTCACAAATCAACCTTTGATAAACATTCAACCAATCTGTCCAATTCGGCCCGGAAAGTACCAGGCTTACTGGTAACAATTATTATTATTATGAGAAAAAACATGAGCGAAGACAAAATGTCCCTATGCCCGCGACACAAAATTAACTATAAAATTTTAACACAAACAATAATGTACATGAATATATGTTAATATGTTCTGTTCATATATAAAGATCAAACAAAAAAAATAAATAAACAAAAATATAAGAGAATAACTTCGATTATTAATTCAACTTTATATGTATATATACAATGATTTGTATGTCATCCGCAAATGCATGATATGAGAAACCAAATGATTCTACCACTTTGAATACTTCAGATGTATACAGAAGAAACATGACAGGACCCAGAACCGAACCTTGGGGCACACCAGACAAAACTATATTGACCTCGACACTTTACCACCAAATGATACTTGCTGAGTTCTACCAGCCAAATACGATTCAAACCACCTTAACACAGCACCGGAAAATCCAAAAGTAACACACAATCTCTCTAAAAGTATTTTGTGATTTACACAATCGAATGCGGATGACATATCGAGGAACACCATTATAGACGTATTCTGTTGGTCGATAGCCCCATAGACATCAGACAGAACCTTTAATAGAGCCGTTTCAGTGATATATATATATTATCATGCATATATATTCACGTATATATTCATGATAATATATATATATTTATATATATATATATATTTATATTTAACATAATAAATGAATATATTTATAAGCGCCTATTAAAAATCAAGAACCAAACGCATATATGTGTATATGTGTGTTTTGTATGTAAGATATATATATATATATATATATATATATACTTTTATATATATATTTATGGATCAGTAGATATGTATATATTTATATAAGTGTGTGTTTACCTAAATATCAAAGAGAGATCCTCTTTAAATTTATGTTAGACGTATTTTCTTCAAAACAGCCTTTCATTCTTCCTTGTAAATATTCATAAATTTATATGCAAGCAAACATCTTACACACTTTAACAACAGGCTAGGGTATTAAATTATTTTTATTGCAAAAAATTTTTTCAAGTCATTGAAATTTATAAAAGGTTCACTTATTAACTTAATATTGAAGCATCGTATTATTTTATGTGAAAGCGTTATAAAAAAAACTAAATAGGTTATAAGCTGGAATATATTTGAATATATAGTGATGGATCAACATGGTGTCAGACATTATTCATGGTTTGGTTATTATTATGCCTTCAATAAGTTGAGCTGCAACAACGAAAACATTGACGAAACCTTACAGGAAAATCCAAAATGTCAGCTCCAACAACAACAACATCATCATCAACAAAAACATCAACGAAAATGTCATCAACAACATCGCCACCAACAACAACATCACCACCACCAACATCATCATCATCATCAACAACATCACAACCACCATCAACAACAACACTGTCAACAACCATTGCATCAACTTACAGACGGAAGGGAGTTAAGCCAACGTAATGATGAATATTCAAACAAGGAGACAGATGATGAAACGAATCCCATTATCCATCGCAATTATCACTTAGATACTATTAAACCACCGGCTCCTACTTTCTGGTCATCATCGTCATCTTCATCATCTTTATCATCATCATCTTCTTTTCATGAAATTAATAATGATGATACCGATGTTGTTCATATTGGTGAAAACAAAAGCGATCATCACAAACATGTAAGCGATGACAAAAACAGTTCATGGGTCAGGTTGAAGAGATCAGATTATTTTCATTATAGAGAGGAGGATGCTGGGTCAGGTTTCCACAAGGAGGATGCTGGGTCAGGCTCCCTTAAGAGACAAGCTGTCTACATGACAGATGCATCCGACCTCACTGATGGAGACACCATCAACAACATCACTGACAATACCATTACAACCAGCAACAATATCAACAATGAAATAGATGTTAGCAACAGCAACATAGACAACAACGTTATAATTAAATGCGATGCAATGAAAAAAGTTGACCCCAACACATCAACGATGCAACGTGGTCGTAATGAAGATTCTGAAATTTTAAAAAATAAAAATTGCAACATCGGATCAAATGATATAAATTTGCAAGACTACATTTTAATCAAGCCTGATATAAAATCAATGAAAAAAGTTGAAAAGTTAGTAAAAAAATCCATGAAGAACAAGGATGAGATGGGTAAGTTGGAACGAAAAATGAAAATGTTCAAAGAGGCTGAGAAATATCACGAAAATTTAAAAAATGTTACAAGTGATGCTACTCACATCGTTAAGAACGACAACCTCGCTGTAAACACACAAACAAAAATCAATTCGAACCTTGCCATAAAAAACTTTGAACTGGAATACCAACTGAAGCGGGAGCTGAATGCCAAGATTTTCGAGCTGACAACAAGGATGCAACAACTGAAACTAAAAGTGAATTCCTGCGATCAACTGTTGGACGATTATTGCACGAACATGTTGGATACGCAGGTCAAAATTGTGGAGTTGGGCGAGCAAATGAAAAAAATTGTGGATAAGAAGGTGTATGATGTCGTCAATGAACTGCAGTGTCAATCCCTTCAATATTGTCAACAGGCCGAAAATAAAAAAACTGACTACATCAAGATTATTAAAAATTTAGGAAAACTAAGAAACAAGTTTGTAGGTTTGAAATATAAAAAAGAAGGGTTAATCTTACATATGGATTCCCTGGATAAATTCAACGCTTGCTACAACAATGTGGACTTTCGAACTTGTGATAATGAAATCGCCAACGATTTTGAAGTGAAAAACAGGCGAAAGGTTCATTTCGAGGAATGCGATGTCAATCATTGGAAGAATTTATGCTTGGGTTCTTTGAAAGTCAATAAAATAGTTGATGGTTGGTTGGTTGTTTCATTTTGTATTTTCTAATTTTTATCAGTATTTACTAAATGATAAATAGCTAATTCAATCATTCATTTTTTGGGTTTTTAGCGTACTTCATCTTAGCATTTCCAGATTTAAAATCATCGGTCTTTTTTTTATTATTAGAAAATTTAAAAAAAGTATATGTTTAATTTGATGGTTTTTATTTAAAGCACTATGTTAAAAGTTGTTGGTGTCCCATGTTTTAGAGAGGTTGTACAGTGCATGTTCAACATTTCATTTCATTCAGGATGTTTCTTTCATTCTATGCGGAGAACGTTTATTACGTAGGAAACAATTGCTACTTAATTGTTTTATTCTTAGCAGGGGATCTCAAGATTGTTTTTAATCACCAATGTGTTATTGACATATATATGGTGTAGATACGTACAATGACTCGTGGATACTGACTATTGATATAATAAATACGATGACAACAATATTATAGTGGGAGCCTTTTTTATTTCTTCACGTTCACAAACGTAATTGGTTTACGTAAAATCAATCAATTAGTTTGTACAGCGCAATTTCCACGATGTTCAACAGCACTTCTCAGTGAATTTTGCAAACAGATGGGTCTTGAGATCCGTTCTGATCTTCGTAAGTAATGGAGAAGTAGTCAGAGAAGGAGGTAGAGAGTTCCAGAGAAAAGACCCAAAAAAAGCAAGCGCAGATTTAGCAAAAGAGTGTTTAAGACGAGTTAAGAAAAAGTGAGAACAAGAAGGTAAGCCGTGGCGTTTAGGTTCAATTAATATATCTGATAAGTACTTAGGGATAATTTAAATTGAGATTTATACATTAATGTGCAAATTTTAAAAATGATTCTATATTTTATAGGCAGCCAGTGCAAGAGAACAAGACATGGAAATATATGAGAAAAGAAGCTGGCACGAGCAACTAGACGTGCAGCAAAGTTAAAAGCTTCACTTAAAGGATAGAGTGTAGAATCATGAAGACTATAGTAGAGCGAGTTACAATAATCAATCCTAGATAAACCTAAAAAAGTGACAAGAAGGAGAAGAGTAGGATCGTCAAGAAAAGTAATAATAAAAATAATTATTATTATAGAAATTTTTAAAACGAAAACAAAATCATACAGTGGATATTATAATATCAGATGATACTACAGAACACACACATCAACATTGATATAATTGGGCGCAAGAATAATGCTAATGAGACATTTTTAATATAAGTTATATGAAAAAAAATTTGAAAATTGGTATCGTATACCAAATATTGTGCATACATATATAACTGCATTGTATATTCATTTATTTTATTTATTTATTCATAAAACTATTCAGAGGGCCTAACAGACCACTTACCCAGAATAGTAAAAGGAAAATCTGATTTCCACAAAAAAATAACGTAATGTCATGAAAGATGCACCATTTTGTTTAATTTTGTACTACTGCCTTGCATATTGTAACAGTTTCTGCGTTTGTCAGATCCTGATTTTTAAAGAATAATAAAAAAAATGTTAATGCCGATATCATCAATCAACGTCATCAAATTAATCGTCAAAACTATGACTGGAACCAATAATATATAGGGGTGTTTATGACAGTATCATCGTCATCATCAAAACGTCATATAAACATCAAAATAAAATAAAGAAAAAAGTAACTGAAATCATGATAAATAACGATAAGACACCACAAAAGTTCAACGTTAGTAGACTACAATCAATAACATTGATGCAACACTAATATCGTAATCATTATTATAGTAATTGTATATTAAATTTTACAACAGATAATAATATCATGGTTGTTTGGTTATTAAATATGTAGATAAGTCAACAGCCAGTAGGCAATCCTTGAAGATGGCATGTGACGTTGAGATCGTTCCATACACTTATGATTTTGTTGCCGAAGAAGTATTCTGTTACGTTGTCATTCGTGTTGAATTCGCGCAGCTTGCTATCAAGATCATTTGGGGTCAGCCAAGTTTCAACAACAGAAAATATTTCAGGTTCATAATAAACTGATAAAAATAAAATAAGGTCATTTTGTTTCTTCTGAATGCTTCGAGCATTGGCAAGGGCAAAACGAAGGTGTCTATTTGTTGATTTCACGAAAGGGCTAATCATTACTAGCTTTGTTGAGACGTCTTTCCTGTCTTTTTTAAATAGGCCAATTTTGCCTGTTTTTTTGAAAGGTCAGGATTTATAAAATTTAAAAGGTCAGGATTTATAGTAGTTGGTGATGATCTGAAAATTTTTGAAGTAGCTTCTAAAATCATCAGCTCATCAGCTGCCGAGGGTTACACAGATCTTAGAATTACGAAAACAGCGGGTTTTTGTTATCTGCGGTTTAAAATTTAAATTATTCTCACAAAATGAAGAAATCAATTCTCTGTCATTAATTCCTGGCTGAGGCTCCAACCCTGATATTACTACATTTTTAGATCGACTTTCCACTTCATTCCGCTCCTGTTCCACCGTCCACAATACTGTTGTCATTGTTTCGAGCATTAGAGTGCTGTTAAATTTAATTACCTGCTGTTGGCATTCAGCAACAGTAGTGCTAAGTGTAAACATGGTCGCATGGAGTTTACTCATGCAGTCAGTTACTGCATCTGATATGCCTTTGACCGCACGCTCGAAGCTGTTGCTTAGTGCTTCCAATCTTAGGGCTGTTGTTTCAAACAATTTACTTATTAGAGTTTCAGAATTGGAAATGGTTTTGCGTAGGTTTCCGTTAAACAACTCAACTACCTTTGTTAAATTTTTGTCGGACTTTTCCATCAATTTTTTAAGGTTGTTATTAGAAGGCGTTATGACCTTTTCTAAACTCTCTTTAGATTTGTCGAGAATCTTGACTAGGCATTTGAGAAAATTTTCATTATTCCGGTCCAAAATTTTGGAGACCAACGACTCAAAATTTTTCGGAGAAATATTTTTAGCCACAATATACAAATATAAATAGTATTTACTGAAATATATACGATTTCAGAAAATTGAAAAGCTTTAATTGTAAAATCAACAAGACGTACGCTAAGCCAACCATGTTATTATATATATATATTAGTAAATGTATTTGTCATGTGTATAAAGTATAAACATATTATATTCATATTACAAATTAATGTTGTGCAAAAGATATTTCATCCACGATAATTAATATGCACTGAAACTTTTTTTTACAAAACAGAAATTCCTCAACAGTCAAATCCTGGCCAATCAGTGGTCTTGGTACGTACCATATCGCTAGATAAAGAGATCAGAGGGGTGACAGCAATACGCAACCAGCTATTTGTCGTCACAGCGAACAGTCCATTATTATATTCATTCAACATCGACACGTACGACTTGATCACCACTTTTAATGTTAAAGATGTTAAAAATCCTTTTGATCTTGTCTCGAATGGTTCCGATGTTTTATTCATATCCGAATGGTCCATGCTAAATATTCACAGAGTAGAATTTCCTTCCAAAAAAGTTTCGCACATCACAACAAGCAATCCCTACAGCACACTTTCCATTAATTACAACAACAACAGCCTTCTGGCTGTCAGTAAAAACAAAAACAAAATATCCGAATATAAAATGTTTGGTTCTAAAAAGAAAATAAAGTCAGTATTACTCAATATCAACTCGTCAGCTCCCTATGGAAAAAGCAGTCATTATGGGAGTGTTGCGCATGCAATAAACCTGACATATAATTCAGAGGTTTGCGAAGATAGCAAGTATTTGGTCTGCAGCACAGATAATCATTTGCACATAGTCGATAGGAAAGGTTCCATCCAGTGGTCCTACAACAGTCACGTCAAGCATGTTAAACTGAGTAAATCCGACGTTGATGATGAAGGTAAATATAACAAAAGTTATTTATCATCACCACCACAAACTAAATCTTCTTCCTCTTCATCATCTTCTTCGTCATCAAATTTTACAAAAGATCTTTTAGAAACAAAAAGTAACAAAAGCAACAATACTTCCAATAATGACGATAACAAAATTGATAACCTAATTGATAATAATAATTTAGATGGGAATCGGAAATTAATTAGTCACTGTCTGAACAAGCCAAGCCACTTAACAACCGATAAAAACGGATTCATTTTGGTTTGTGATAGTGGAAATGACAGAGTCCTTCTTTTAAATAAATGTTTAGAATTCGTGCGTGAATTAATTGAGCCAGGAATAAATGGTATGAAGAACCCTCTACGAATATTTTTGGATGATGCCAGATCGAGGTTGTACGTCGTTGCTGGAGATCTCTTTGTGTATCAATTAATTTATTGATCAGTGCTGCTTATCCGATTTCATCATTTATATTAACTTCTGTTTAAACAAATGCTTCAAACTTATTTTCATTCAATCGAGCTTAGGGTATAGTTTTTTTTCTAGTTTTTTTCATTCAGACATGCTAAATAATATTTGAATCTGAATTTAAAAAATTTAATAACTAATAAAAATCTCTAAAAAACTTAAAATAAACACACACACACACGCATATATATATATATATATATATATATATATATATATATATATATATATATATATATATATATATATATATTGACAATTTTTTTGACATTTTTTATTTCATCAAATCAAAACAAAGAAATCAAAGAAATGATATCAATGAAAAGAAATGATCTGGAAATCGAAAAGAAAATATGGTTTTCTTGTAATGATTACCAGTGACAATTGTAAAAATGAGAATATATTTTAAATATTTTAGTGCATGTAAACTCACATTCATATTACAAATCCTAAAAAACCAAAAATGGAATCATAATTATTAAGTAATCAATTCTTTTACATTTTTATCAGAATGTCGTTTGTAATTATTGAAACTCAAATATATATATATAGACCAACGTAAAACATACTTATTCACACACACATACACACACACACACACACACACACACACACACACATATATATATATATATATATATATACACACACGTACATGAGCCCACACAAAAAGTTAAGGGGGTTTAAATGTTAAAAAGTAGGATTTGATGTCTTTTTTAAATTTTACAACGGATTTTGCTTCTTTCAAATATTCAGGTAATTTATTCCACGTCTTAGGTCCGACGACTCTTATGCTACTATTAATAAGTTTCAATATGTTTTTTTCAATATAAAATGTTGAGGTATGTCTTGTGTGTTTTAACTGGATTGCGTTACTATAAATAAACAAATTATTAAAATTTTTTGGAATTAAGTTGTTAATAAGTTTAAATATAAATATTGAGATGCATGTGTAATAAATTTGTTTTATTGAAAGTAGTTTTGCAATCTGAAAATAATTAGAGGTGTGGTCATTAAATTTTAAATCGAATAAAATTCTTATAAAACGTTTTTGACATTTTAACAGGGGATCTAGCTGATAAGCAGGGCTATTTCCCCATATGATCACGCAATAATGAATATAAGGGTATATAAAGCTATAATAGAAATCTTTTAATATTGTGGAATTAATCTTATTTTTGATTTTATAAAGTATACCTATGAATTTATTGATTTTTGATTTAAGATTTTTAATGTGATAACTGTAAGACAAATTATCTTGCAGAACTAAACCCAAAAAAACAACTTGATTGGTTTTTGTTTAATTTCACATTGCTGAACACAAGGTCCAGGTACGAGAAACTATTGGTTAAAATCTTTGGTCCAAATATAACATAGGCCGATTTGGATGAATTAACCATGAGTTTGTTCATAGAGAACCAATCCTCGAATAATTTGAGTTCATTATTTATTACATCTAAATCTCGTTTAATGTCATCAGAAGAATAAAAAATGTTTGTATGGTCAGCGTAAAAAATACAATTCATCTTTTTTGATAGGTAGGCAATGTCATTTATATAAATCAAAAAAAGCAAATGGCCTAATACAGACCCTTGCGGGACTCCACACGAAACTTCACGCGTCCCAGATTTAACATCATTCACAAAAACATATTGCTTTCTACCCGAGATATAACTCTCAAACCATTGATTTGTAATACTACAAATCCCATAATGGTTGAGTTTATTTAACAAAATATCGTGATCAATCAGATCAAATGCCTTTGTAAGGTCGAAGAATATTCCAAGAGTAAGCCTACGTGAACTCATGTTGGTCAATATATTTTGAACCAATTCTAGAATGGCTAGTTCACATGAATGGTGGGCTCTGAATCCGTACTGGTTTTCAGAGAGAACATTGTTTTTCATAAGAAAAGAAAATAAGTTTGTAAACCAGTTTTTCTAATACTTTGGATAAAGGTGATAATAAAGAAATTGGTCTGTAATTATTTAAGTTATAGGGGTCATTTTTTTTCATGATAGGAACAATTTTTGAGAGTTTAAAGCTTGATGGAAAAATACCTTGTTTGAAAGAAATGTTGAAAATATGAGTAAGTGGAGATAAAATTTCGTTTTTGAAAGTTTTAACTGTGAATGAGTTAAGTTCATCATCAGAAGTTGACATTTTGGGCTTAAGCGAATTTATTATTTGAATAACTTCTGACCGATCGGTAGGTTCAAGAAAAAAAGATGATAGAACGGGATCTGTAAAAATTTTTAGTTTATTCAAGGAGTCAACAGAGAATGTGTTTCGACAAGAACTAACCAAATTAATAAAATTATCATTGAAGGCATTAGATATTTCAAGTTTGTCAGTAATAAATTCGTCAGCAATTTTAATTTTCTCAATTAGATTTTTTGACTTATTTGTTTTTAAAATGTCTTTAACTACTTTCCATTTATATTTAGAATTATTTTTGGCCAAATAAAAGTGATTTTCATAAAAATATTTTTGAGCTGATCTTTTAGTAGATGTTAAAAAATTTCGAAACTTTTTATATTTTATTAAATTATTGTCGCTTGGATTTGTTTTATACTTTTTAAATAATTTAATATATCTTTAGTAATCCAACTTTTTTTAATTTTTTTATTTTTAATTGCTGTTGGAGGAGCATGATGATTTAGTATATTTAAAAATGTAGAATTGAAGTTATTATAGCATATGTTAACATCAGATTCGTTAAAAACAGAGTCCCAGTTTTCTACCATTAATGATTCTTTAATAGCTTTTATTGTATTAGATGAAAATTTCCTTGCTACTAAGATGTCATCTTTCTTAGGAAGTGATGTTTGTTTTAAATTAAATGAAAATATGGGATAGTGATCTGATAGATCCACCATTAAAATGCCATTTAGGTGATCTGAGTAAATATTGGTAAATATATTATCTATTAATATGGAAGTTGTTTTGGACACGCGAGTCGGTTGATCAATTAGCGAGTGATAATTGTGAGAATAAAGAATGTTTTCAAAACTGTTTTTAGTATGATTTGAGGAGTTCAAGTTTATATTAAAATCGCCAATAATATATGAAAAATTTGATACATTGTTTTTGCAAAAGTTTGATAGAAAGTCAAAGAATAAATTTAAGTTGGATTTAGGGGGTCTGTGAATTAAAGTAATATTGACAACATCGATGTTCAGTTGAACATCTATGTTGAGCAATTCGCAAATATTTTCATCGAAAAATTCATATTTTTTTGAATACTCAATGTTTTTTTTAACAAAAAATCCAACTCCCCCACCCAAATTATTTTTACGTGGGAGATCTATGAAATCATAATTATCTAAACCAATTAATTTAGACAAATCAGCAGTTAGCCAAGTTTCTGTGATAGCAAGAACAGAAAATAAATAATTCAAATTAGACAAAAGTAACTGAAAATCACTTATTTTGTTGAATATGCTTCTTGTGTTTACATGCAAAATAGAAAAACAGTTTTTGGTAGTTCTATTGTCTTCGTTAAATAAAGAAGAAAAATCAGGCACAGAAAAATACTCACTGCCGTGAAATAAATTACTCGAATTCAAAATAAAGTCAACAGAACTTGTATTATTTCTAGCCATGTTTGTTGTTGTTGTTTTCGATAGTGTTACTTGGTTTGACGTTGAATATCCAGTCGCGTATAATCGCATGTTCGGGCCATAAGTCTTCTTCGAACATTTTTGAAACTTCATTGTTTGCTACGCAGATGCGAAATGCTGAACTAGATTTGTTATCATCGCCTTCAACATTTGAACCTCGTTTTGCTATTGGAAAGATGGATATAAATTTTATTCCAGCTTTATTTAAGTGTTCTCTTATAGTGTCTGTTTTGGTGATGTTGAGGTTTCCCAAATATATGAAAGATTTTTTAACTGGTGGTGCAACAGCTTTGAAGCCAAGTTCAGCTTTTGATTTTCCTGTATTTTTCCTGATTAATTCTCTTTTAGGCGTTGAAGCGGTGTTAAGATCAATCAATTTCCGACGTGAAATTTTAAGTTGAAACGGTTTATTTTCATTATCACTTTCGTCAGTTTGTATATTTGTAGAACAAGGAGCTTTGTTGAAATCTAAAAGTTTCCCGCCAGACCAAGCATTGTTTAGAGTTTTCGTGTTAGTTTGTGCCGCCTAATTCGTAGATGATTGTGCAGCATTAATTTTAACAATATTTTCCTTGGTGTTGAATGTATTCAGCGTATACAAACATTGTTTATTTAAAACAATATTTTTATTAACCAAATTTTCAATTCTGTCAATTTTATTATTTAAATTCGGAGAAATGTTTGAAAATGTTTCATTGGGAATTCGCTCAATGTTCAGAATGGTGAATACTGGTAACAAATGTCCCAAATTGTCAGTAATTGGAAATAATTCAAAAAAATCACTTAACTTATCCAGTTAGTATTTCCTTGTGTTGCAAATTTAATTTTTTTCTTTTTCAAACTTTCTAATTCTCCCCGTAGAATTTTGAAGCCATTCTGAAGTTCAGCGGAGGTATAAAAATCAGCTACAATATTTCTAAACTTGTCGTTTTTCAACATTTTTAGTTAAATACCATAATAATTCGCTAATTACAATTTTGCGTGCGAAATATGGCGAAATATATGCGAAATATATTTATGTGCGAAATATATATGTATGTATATATATATATATATATATATATATATATATATATATATATATATATATATATATATTTACAATATTCTATAAATTCTACCGAATGTTTGGCGTTAATATGTTTATAGTTCGTTTTTTCGATTTTTCTCACTAAAGTTTTTTGA